CGCGCGGTGGGGGGGGGGGGGGGGGGGGGGGGGGGGGGGGATGTCATAAGCAACTAGTGGAAGGAAGCTCCTGGGGAAAGAAGAAGAAGATGTCTCAACGGAATTACCAGAATCTTCAAATGGGAGACGACACCGTTCAGCGTTAAACATGAGGCAGGACCATTTCAGCATTTCAAATTTGTTTAGCACATTTCAAATTGTTAACTGTAAACTCGCCTTTTTCCCTCTACCTAAACATGAGATGGGAATGAAGGAAGGAAGGATGGATGGACATAATTTGGTTTCTCTTCTTCTCTCTCATTCTGAAATTTTCTCTTCCTTCTCGTTCTTCTTTTCTTCTCCCTTAATCTATATTTCTTATATCTTCTTAATATTATTATAGTTGGGTATGAAATTGCAGTTGAAAATCTATGGATTGTGTTGGAATTATTCGATTTTGATTGAGGCTATAATCAATCATTACATAACTGCTACTCATTATTACTACTGTCCTTGTAATTCTTATTGGACTAAGATCATTACAATAAAATTATTATATAAAATTTACTATAATTTGTTAAATGTGGACAAAAGTGCAGTACAAATAATACAATACGACAAGATAAACTACACTATATTTCATGAAAAAGAATACGAATAAGGCCAAAAAAGGTATAGTCCTATTCAGATGGCTAAAGAGGCCCAAAGAGCAGCAAGCCCAGTCAGAATAACCGAAGCCTTGTGGATGGAGTTTGAACTCGAATCATCATCCGCCACTGGGCCCTGTGCAATTTCCGGTTCCAAACTCGTCGGCGCCGGGCTTGGTTCACTACTGCTTGATGGGAACATTCCTGGTGCTTCTGATGGTGTTGCAGAACTTGAAGGAACGCTGGAAGATGCTGGGCTCGTGGCCGACGCCGGAGAAGTAGCCGGAGTTGAGGGCAATGGAGATGAAACTGGAGGAGACACTGCCGGAGTGCTCACTGGGGTTGGGGTCTCCGTTGTAGGTGGAGACGCCGGAGATGGGACAGGAACAGAAATGCCGGCCGACGGAGAAAAAGCGGACGGCGTCGGAGACTGTAACGGCGACGCAGATGGGCTGGTTTTCGGAGAACTAACTGGCACTGCCGGAGAAACTTTTGAAGGAGGCGAAAGCACCGGAGACTTCGCTGGGGACGCATGAGGGCTTCCCCGAACAGGGGACGGAGAATTGGCCTGCGGAGCATGTTTCTTCGTAGGCGCCTTGGTTGGCGCCGGAGAAGGCGCATTAGCGCTCTGTGCATTGCCGGAATATTGCACACACAACACTAGAAAGGCGATGAGAAATAACCTGCACATTTTTTGCAGTATAACAAAACCTAGCGGGTAGGATTCTTCCGGTGATATCACTCAGTAAATAAATGCTAAAGATTTGCCGATATGGTTCTCCGCTGAACATGGATGGCAGAGATCACGTAGAGAAATATATATAGGGAATAATTTGAAACTTAAACGTTGCATTAAGGACAGTTGATCCGCAATACGACCGTTGGTAGTTGTGGGACCCTTTGTCATGTAATGTTACCGTTGCTGATAGTGAGGAAATTCCTCTGCATGTATTTGTCACTTCCTTTTTCTGATTTTTTTCCTTTTTTATTTTGTTTTAAAAAATCTCACCAAAATTAGCTTACGAAGACACTGCAGAAATTTTCCTCAGAGGCCCAAATCATGAATAATTCTTCAATTGCTTCGTCAAATCCACAAAAATCTAACCTTTTTCAAGCACTGAAGTCAAGTTAAATTTTGTCCGAACAATAAAATATGTTTGACTCCGCCCCATAAGAAGTCCTTTTCTTGCTTTCTCTGCAAGTATCATGGCAATGCTATATTAACTGTCATCAGAAATGAAACAGAAAATCCCTAATCCTAAGTTTTGATTAAAGCCATGGACGATAATAAAGCTGGAGGAGGGGATAACGGTGAAGATTCCAGGGAATGGTTCTTCGACGCCAACTAGGATTTTCTTGGGAGGATCCGATGATGGCTAAGAAGATACGTATAATGATGTTAATAATGGAGACATCTTCCAACACTCACTTGTAAGTTATTAATGAAAAACCGGAGAAGAAGGTTGAATTGATCTCGTTCAAAACATAAGGGACAAATAAGTTTTTGCACACTCTCTTAACGTGCCTTTTTAGAAGAAAATTGTCATCAGGGACTATATACTAATTAAATATAAGGTTAAGGGTGAGAATGCAGCAAAAAACTTAAAACATAAGTGAGACAATGTGAAGAGGTCAAGAATCTTTAACGCAGTTAAAATGTTGTGTAACAACAAATTTGTGGAGGCAATAATTTTCAGATCATAATTTTTATTTCTTGTACCACATTTTAACTGTATTTAAGGTTTTTAATCTTTGTTCGTTATAGTACTTATGTCCCTAATGATTTTTCATGTCATTTTTATAGTCAAACTTTTCATTAGTTGACACATTTTGTATTTGATAACAATTTTATATCTAAAAGTTCGTTGAAATAGCTTAAAATAATTTACTTTTTATCATATTTTTAAAAAATAAATAAATAAAAAGTGTGAAAAATTCCCTTATTTCAAAGCATGAAATATTTTGATATATATTATTATGAAGGACGAGACTTATTAATTAATGGAATGTTGAATATAAGAATTCGATGAAAAAAGTTAATGAAATAATTGCTACAATGAGTAAAGATTAAGGAGTTTAATGACAATTAAAATGTGGTGTATCAAGCAGAGAAAAAATGATTTTTGGGCAATCACAATTTCTTTAATGCACTAGAAAAAACGTGAACATTACTTCAATGTATGATATTAATTTTTGTTGATGATTGTCCACCAGTTGCAAAGTTTTGATAACTTTTAGGGAAAAATTCATAAATAAGAATTTAAGTATCACACATTTCAAAATTAAGAAATCAAATTTTTATTTAAATTCATTTATGAGATTTAATTAATTTATTATTTATTTTACTAATTAAATATATTTAGGTCACGGATCTATATAATTTGATCACAAATTAATGATTTAGTTAGTAACTTATTATTTTTTGATTTCTAATCAGAATTTTATATCACGAATTATTTTATGGTCATAGTTCAAAAGTTTTATAGATCACAGTTCATTTCATATAAGTTACGATTTATTTATTGGTCACAAATCACAAATATTATAAATCACGACTTATTATACATTCTCAAATTATCAAATTATCGATCACAGATTAATAAATTTTTAAGTTACACATTATTTTTTTATCACAAATTATCTTTTTTATTGGTCACAGGTTATCCAATTTAATGGTCACAATCAACTAAATAATTTGTGACCCACCATCAACACGGTTATCACTGTCAATCTAAAAGCACAACCACAGTCGGGGCAACGAAACCATTATCTCAAGCACCACAACCGCCGTCATGACCACCAAGATCCAATAAAGCGATCGCCACCCAAACACCACCACCCACAAATTGAAACCCACCCAAAAAATTGTGATTTTTGAATCACGTGCCACCAAAAACCATCGCACAACCACCACCACAATCTTAGCCAACAACAACCACCACCATTCCAAAAAAAAAGAGAGAGAGAGAGAGAGAGAGAGATTCAGATCTATCCAAATCAGCGCCGTGCACCATCGACGACGAGCGATGGTGAGGAGCATCACCACAATTCCAATGAACCACCATCCCCACCTCACCATCTCCACTAGCACCACCACTACTCCAATGAACCACCAACACCACCACAACCACACATAATCGATTTCATACGCAAAACCCACACAAATCAGCAAACGCCTACCATAGATTGCCACCTCCACCACCTATGCCGACAACTATCGTCACCACCACCATCTTAATACTCCACAACCACTACACCCACGAAAATTTCCCAAAACTAGTTGACGACTATCACTGTATCCCCACTAGTTTAAAACCAAATCTAAGAAATGAGGTGGTTCTGACGCCAAATGAAGATGAAGCAATGGTTCTGGCGCTGGACGAGAGGAAGGCAATGGGAACGTTGAGGAGAAACCGAGAGAGAGGTAGTGAGTGAATATGAATGATTTTTAGGGTTTGTATGAAAATTGGGAATTAATTTTATTATTAATATTGAATCAATATCTGATTTTTGTATAAACAAACTACATATCTGGTTTATGAAATTGGATATTTAAAGATATGGTTAAGTATAATTTTCACTAAATTTTACGTGTACTGCCATCCATTTTGCAAGGGTTTAGATGATTAAATATCGTTCTTTTCTTTTTTTTTCTTTTTTTTTTTAAGTGCGTGACCATTCATTTTTATTACTTAAGTTTCTTTTGTTGCTTGAGTGAAATCTAGCAACTTGAACAAAGTGTTGATTTTCTTCCAAGTTATCATGATGTCCCCATTATATCTCACATAAAAAGTTCGAGAAAAAACCCAAGCGAAAATGGTGCTACTGCATACTTTGACTTGCTATAGACTTTGACTAGGGAATAAGCCCTACCCTGGGTAAGGCACACATGAAACATTACTAGACGTGTAAAATGGGGCGAGTCACTCATATTTTTGGATTTTATTTGTGTTGATACACAAAAAGTTCGGCCCAAGTTGAATAGCTAAGGAATGAAGTCCAATTAGAAGATCTCCAAAATCAAATAGCTCAAAGAACGACCCAGTCAGGCAATGCAGGATAAAGGCCCAAATAAGGAAGCCCATGAACGCGAAAATACCATCGCCCAAGGTTGCAAGTCGCCTAAGATTTGAACGAATGAATTGTCATGCAATCGTCCAGAGCTGTGACTCTGCTCTCGACCAAACATTCAAGTCGCTTAGCATCTTAGCAAACATAAGAAGTTATAGTTATCTAAAAGTACAGTTAATGAAGCAGTTATTGGGTAGTCCTATCACGTTCCATGATTCAAGGAATTCAATTGGAAACGATTGAACGACAAAAGTAATGACAGCGGTTAGAGAAGGCAGTTCCATGAAAAGTTGGCCACTACAAGGAAAGTGGGTAGTTATAGAGCGATCAAGCAGTTTTTTAAGCGATTGATCACGAAAAAATCATCCAGAGAGTATAAAAGGAAGAAAAGATATAGAGCAAAAGACCCCAAATCAAACACTTTCAAACAGAAAATATGTAATTTTCAATTTTTTAGTTTAGATTTAAACACTTCTTTTACAGTAACTCGTGTACTTGCGCCCCTTGAAGGCATTCTGTTTTTACTTTCCAATTGTAAAATCATCGCCAATAAATACGCCCATTTTTGGGACTTCGTCTAAAGAGGTTTGTCCCTTATACAATCGTCTGATCCCTTTTTAATTGTTAGCGACTAACCCACGCGAAACAATTTGTTTATTTTTTAAAAATTTGTATACGAAAATTCATTCTTGCAATTTTAGCTTCATCTACATATTGCAGTTGATCCAAGCTCGGATAAATAAAGAGGATTTTTACAACTTTTGGCAATATGTAATTCTTTATGTTTAACATATCTTTAAAAATTTGTGTCTTCATTATACTACAAAAAGTGAGTGCAATTTTCTATTCAAATTCAAAAAGGTTGCAAGCCACGAATGGGGGCAGGCTGAGCAACACTTCAGCATCTAGTTGGCTCGCCCCAAAGCAAGAACAAGTGGGCTCGCTTGATGGATCAAAAAATGAAACAGATTATTTTTCCCAAAATTTAAAATACCAGGGCAAACAATCAATGCCACCATTTGTTCCTCAGTTGATGTTATGCAAAACCAATTTAACATGTTTTAGATGCATCATATTCTACACCTACTTTCTATTGCAATCAGCACAACCGGATAGGTCAATTGTCAATATCTGCCAAGCTAATTGACTAGATGCACCCATCGAAAATGCGTAATATGGCCACCCTGCTCAAGCAAAAAAGGACAATAACATCAAAAATGTGTAATATGGCCATCACGGTCCATCTGAAAATTGAATAGAAATTAAAAGAGCTTCAAAGAAAGAAGACAATAAACATGGTAAGAGAAAACAGGAACTAGAAAATCAAAGTAGGTCAAGCCATAATATTGTACTGAAACTAGTTGGTACCTTAGTAAGATACATGTAAGAAATTGATTAAGTTTTCCTTTTGAATTAGATTATTGTAGTGTAAACTCTTGGGTATATCACTGATCCAAGAGAAGTGGTAAACTAATTATCACTATCTCCATCGTAAACCCTCACCTAAGGAGGAGATTGCTTCACTACATACTGTGTAAATACCTGGTGTTCACAACATGTTTTCTGAGTGATTACTTTGTTCACATATGAGCAGTTTTCATAATTAGTATAATATATATGACATTCTGGGCAGAGAGAGAATCTAAATACGATACAGTCAAGCTATAAAATATTGGAGAACCTGCTCAAAGAAAGCATCAATCAAGATAAAATAAGGAACCATATGTTTGGGAAATTAAAAATATAAAATTTTTGCATAATTGAGAAATCCTAGCATAATCATAACAAAGAATGACTAGAAAATAAAACAAACCTAAAGTTGTTCACTTGCAGAAAAATCCCTAGTCCTAAACTCAATTGAAAAGCAAGAAAACAAAGTCCTTGAAATGGTGTCAAAATTCCACTGGCAACTGGCCTCGACCTTGTCCTCTCTACCTACACCACATTAAGCTATCAAACAAGCAAGGAAGCAAATGAATAATCATCACGTCGTAGAAGGTTCTACTTAAAAATACAGAAGAAAGATGGATGAACAAAAATGCAAAAAAGACAGAGAGCCTAAAAATGGTAGAATATATCAACTGAGAATAACTAATATATCTGTCCAAAATGAAAAGAAGATACTGATCAGCAAACATGTGCGCATATTCTAGTGGTAAAAGGTACTAAGAGTTAATAGCTAAACTAAGGACCTGGTTGGTAGTGATTTTGAGAATTGATTTTTTTATCGTTAGAGAGAAAAGTAGATCCTACCTGTGAGTAAAAAAAGTAAAAAATGACGGCTAGTGAAATAACGGTCAAAATTTTGATTTTTTTGGATGAAAAATTGCTACCAAACGGAAGCTGAATGTGCAAAGGAATCAAACGAAACAATGTTTGAGACATAGGAACAAACCAACTCGTAAAATACGATTAACAGTTGAAAACATGAAAAAAGATTGTGACTTGATGTAAAAGAAAAAAAAAGAAAAGGGAAAGCTGGGCTTCCACTTCTTCAATGATCATTAGATAAACTTATGCAATCTCTAGTGAGGGAAAAGTTGGGTCGAAAGAAAAGGAGAAGTCGAAAATGGAAGGGGCCATCTCTTTCCC